CTAATATCGATATATTTTTGTCAAATTTTTATGATATCGTCAAACATATATTTTATTCAAAAATAAAAACATCATCGCTTTCTCAAAATCACATAAAGCCATATTATAACATCGACTGAGATAAAGAATAAAATTAAATATCACGTTGTATCTCATTGCATTGCACGAGTACGCTTCTAGTTTTCAATAAACCATATGGACAAAACTTAGTTTACTTATATAACTATATTAATTATATAGTTTTTGAACAAGTATTTAATATATATATATATATATATATATATATATATATATATATAGGGAAGGGTTCAAACGAGAACCCTGTGATTTACGAGAATGCCAGAACAACCCAATAACCACATATTGTGATAAAACATAAAATTAAAAGATTTTTAAAACTAAAATTGAAATTTAAAAAGATTCAGAAAATATTAAAATTAAAAGGGTAATAATGGAAATGATATCATAAAATCTTTTAATACGATTACACGATCATGATTATCATTATCTAATAAACGGTTAATTATGTGATATGGGTGATTTGGGTGTGATATGGGTGTGATAATCATGTGATTATCACACAATTATCATAAGGATTCCGCTCGGCTAGGGTTAACTTAGAAAATCGACTACCGATTTGGTGTGATATGGGTGTGATAATCATATGATATCACTATCATAACAGCGCACTCAATTTGATCATGGTTTCGATCGGTTAGGATTAGACGATCACACATTTATCACAAGGATTACGGGCGAAATCCACTAAACGATTTGGTGTAATATGAGTGTGATAATCATGTGATATCACTATTATAACATCACTTGCGCACTAAATTTGATCATAGTTTCGATCGGTTAGAGTTAGACAATCACACATTTATCACAACGATTACTCATGGTTTCGATARGTTATGGTTACACTTCATTGATTATGGTTTCGATAGGTTATGGTTACACAATCACACAATTATCACAAGGGGAGAGGAGAGAGTGGAAAAGAACGTGCATGAAAAAAAGGGATAATTATGACGAATTAAAATAAAATAAAAATTATAAAATTAATTAATTACATTACTGCCCTTATTAATTTATTTATATTTAATATAAGTTAATTTATTAATTAAAAAAGTTTGAGGTTATTAGATTRTTCTCRCATTCTCGTAAATCACAGAGGTTCTCGTTTGAACCTCCACCTATATATATATATATATATATATATATATATGATTTTCCCAACCTTAAAATCATATTTTTTTAATGTTTTATATAGACATCCCTAGATAGATTTTCTAGCTCTGTTCTAAGGGGTAAGTCTCGTAAAATTTATAAAGCTTTCTAAAAACTTACTAAGGAGGTGTTTGAGATTGCTTATAAAAACAATTTATTGACTTATTCTAATGTGACACTGGTAATAAACATTTTTGAGTGTTTATATAAACAACTTATAGCCGGTAATAAAAAGTTAAACCCTTCTAACTTATAATAAGTTGATAAATTCTTTTATAGAAAATTATAAGTTGTTTTAAATAAGCAATCTCAAACACCATTAAATGATTCACTATCAAAAAATCGTTATAGCACATCAAATAAGGTGCGAGTTTGGTTGAGGTTATTAAGAGAGTGTTTGGGATTGCTTATTTGAAACAACTATGTTTTTATACAAAAATACTTATCAACTTATTATAAGTTAGAAGGGTTTAACTTCTTTAAAAACTTCTTATTACCGGTTTGGCACCGATATAAATTATTTATCTAAACATTCAAAATTGTTTATTATTGATACCATACTGAAATAAATCAATAAGTTATTTTTATAAGTTAAATCCAGACACCCCCGAATACTAACAAACAGTTTCTTAGAGGAAATATTGGGGTTGAAAACCAGAATGTCCTTGCTTGAGGGTATATCTTGTAGATTACTTTCCAGGCATCTAACAGGGGGAGAACAGCAAACCAGTTAGCAAAACGTGCGATTGGAGGAAGCAAAACGTGTGAAAGAGGGGTTTTGCGGGACGGTTGGAGAAGCTTTAAGGATACCTATTCGGCGATCATCAATTAGCATACGAATGATGGAAGTCGATGATGAGATGATCAAAATTAAGGGTACCCTTGTAGGATTTTCAAAAGTAGTTGTTCTTATTCTTTATGGATTGTGTATCTTAAACCAATTGCGTAAGAGAAATTTTGAATATTTTAGTGAACCCATGTCTTATTCTTTTTGGGTTTTCTGTTATCTGAATGAATTTTTCAGGGGAAGAAGAAGAGAAAAGAAAACCCATAGTGGTAATACTAGTGGGTGCACCTGGAAGTGGCAAATCGACCTTCTGTGATCACGTTATGCGGGTATCTACCCGACCCTGGGTCCGTGTTTGTCAGGTATTTCTCTTTTTCTCTTATGCATTGCAAGTGTTCGATAAAATGTTTTATTGGTTTTATGTTATTACCTGGCACATTGGTCTGGTGCCACCTTTGTAATGCCATTGAACTTCTTGTTGCGTGGAGAGCACGATTATACGTAACTTTAGGGTATTATATATGATCAGATGGATTGCAGCTTAGACTAATTGAGTTGCTCAGCTCATAAGCAAAAGGCATGGGCCTATTATTGATGGTCATTTTTCAAAACCGAAATGGTGCTTGGGCTTACACCTTATAGTTAAAATCTGTAGATGAATACCTTGAATAACAGTAACAAGAGAATGTTCAATTCATTATAGGAAAACAATGTCATTTCTACCAAAATATGCTATAAGTTAATTTGCCACTTTCAATGGACACGATTTAGTTTGATAAGCTCATTATACGGTACTTCCTCTTGTATGTTTCTTGTAGATTTAGCATTAAATATGGTACACAACTGTACAGGCTTATGCGTGATTCTTTGTCTATATAGTACTCCCTCCTTTCTTATAAAAGCTGCAAAATTTGATTGGTTACATAATCCAATGTCATTGATGGTTGAGGATAACAAAGGGCAAATAGCCAATAGGTAACTTTAGCTTGGATATTTAAAAAGATGGAAAATTGCAATTTATATGGGACATCCCAAAATGAAATTTGATGCAATGTTTATCACAAAGATGGATAAAAAGTTCAACACAGGTAAACTAGCTAGCCAAGCAAAAACCCTGTCATGAAAATAGCTGAAGGTCCTGGTCATACTTTTTGAAATTAAGCAACTCTACCACTGTATTCACTATATAACTTTCTTTATCTCTTGTGCATTTATTCTTTCGTTTCTTTAGGCCGCTGGCCATGGGTTGTATCCGAAGACATGGAAAGAGATGTTTTTATGTCAGCAACAGAGGCCCAATTCATAAGACTTCTGAAAGCATCATCAAACTAATAGTCTAGAATGTATTATTCTGCTCACAATGTAAAATCACCATCTTTCCTTTTATTAATCTTCATTCATCTTGTTTTGGTGTAATTGCTTCTGCTTAGATCTCTTATTTGTTCTTTAACCAGCATCTTGATTGGTGCCTTTTATCTACTATATTTTATGCAATATGTGTATATTAACCGTTTAGAAAGGATGAGAGGTGACAATTTTTTCACTGAGAAGAACATTATGGTGTTAGCTGTCCCTGAATATGTTTTATTTAAATTAGAGAGTTGGTGGGAAGAGCTTTCCTAGAAAACATCCTTTCCCGGTCTTTATTACTTGTATGCTCTTTATCACACTCCATGATTATGTTTCTCTTTCTACTTGCTTCTGTCACCAAATTATGTCTTTCTCATAGTAGTTTTGTTCTCAGTGTGATTTGTTGATTTACATGAAAAGGATCATACTAAATGTAGTCTCATGCAGGACACAATTGGGAATGGCAAAGCCGGAACAAAAGCACAATGCTTAGCGCTTTCTAACACCTCCTTAAAAGATGGAAAAAGTATACTAATTGATAGGTGCAATCTCGATAGAGAACAGCGGGCAGATTTTGTTAAGCTTGGAGAGTCTCACCAAGTAGACATGCATGCTGTTGTTCTTGATCTTCCTGCAAAGCTTTGTATATCTCGATCTGTAAAGCGAACTGGGCATGAAGGCAATTTGCAAGGTGGGAAAGCTGCTGCAATTGTGAATCGGATGCTGCAAAAGAAAGAACTGCCCAAATTGAATGAAGGGTTTAGTCGAATAACTTTTTGTCAGAATGAGAATGATGTTCAGGCTGCCATGGATACGTATGGAGCACTCTCACCCTCGGATAGCCTTCCATCTGGCTGTTATGGAGAGAAAAATACTGATACTAAGGTCCAACTTGGTATTATGAAGTTCTTAAAAAGAGTAGATGCTCCAAATAAAGTAAGATCCGATAAAACTGTGCCTGGGCCATTGGTCGAAATTACCAAAGAAAATCATCCTGTTGATGCAAGTCAAGACCAACAAATGGGATCTGAGAGTGGGACACGCCCTTTAGACAGTCCTCCTCCCACTTTAGCATTTCCTTCTATATCCACAGCAGATTTCCAGTTTAATATTGAAAGGGCTTCTGAAATAATAGTTGAGACAGTTGAGGAATTCATAAACAAGCTTGGGAACGCAAGGGTTGTTCTAGTGGATTTGTCTCGTGGATCAAAGATATTATCCTTGGTGAAGACCAAGGCTGCTATAAAGAACATTGACCCCAAAAAGTTTTTCACGTTTGTGGGGGATATCACAAAACTCCGCTCAGGAGGAGGCCTGCACTGCAATGTGATAGCAAATGCTGCGAATTGGTAAATTTTGACATGTAGTTGTGAACTTTAGGTTTAGCAGCATTCCCCTGTCAGTCCATGCATGGTTTAACTGTTTATGGTCCTATTTAATGAAGATATGTTCTTAAAGTCGTGATGATTAAGCCTGTTGGCTTGCTATTTGATGTTGCTAAAATCTTTTCTTTACTACTTTCTTTCTCTTCTAAATGTCACCAGCTTGGTGTCAAGATTTAGACTACATCTTGCATCTTCTTTATGAAAATAAACTTAGTGGTGTCTTGATCTCCACGTCACCCATACTGGGTGGCTAATTTCTAACAAGTTTAACATTGATTCTGCTCACAAAATTGATGAGATTTGATTTCATTTTATATGTGAAACTTAATCTTACAGGAGACTAAAACCCGGTGGTGGGGGTGTAAATGCTGCTATATACAATGCTGCAGGTCCAGAACTAGATGCTGCAACAAAAAATCGAGCTGGATCTCTTGCTCCTGGAAAAGCACTCACGGTCCCTCTTCCCTCAACTTCTTCCTTGTTTTCTAAAGAAGGCGTAACACATGTCATACACGTGCTTGGGCCAAATATGAACCCAAAGAGACCAAACTGTCTCAAAGATGACTATAACAAGGGCACCAAAGTTCTTCGCGAAGCTTACTTGTCACTCTTTGAAAATTTTGCATCTATTGTGAAAACCCAAGAGAAATTGTCTGATTCAAGCAGTGTAAAACCTGATATCCATAGCCATTTAGATGGAATTTCAAACTGTGATCAGAAGGTTAGGAGAGAGGATGGTGCCTGTATCACCGAGAGGAACAAGAAAATGAAAGGGTTTATAGGAGAAACTGAATTCAAGAAGTCGTATTCAGTAAATGTGAAGGAGAATGCAACCAACAGTGGGAAGACGGGTCAAAGCATGAATAAGGATTGGGGCTCATGGGCTCAAGCACTTTACAACATCGCCATGCATCCTGAGAAACATAGGAATGATGTAATTGAAGTTTCCGACGACATTGTGGTTTTGAACGACCTTTACCCAAAGGTTCTTTCCATCTCCTATACAGGTCCTTTTGATAAATCATCATTTATCTTGAATGAGTTTTCAATTAGCAGCATGACCTAAAAAATTTTAGCTCAATCACCTTGAACTGACATGCCCCTGATTCAAAAAATCTACCCCTGGTCTAAACTTAAAGATGCTCTAGCTTCTGGAGAAAATAGCCCTATCTTAACCCCCACCCCTCCTTTTGTTTGTGTGAAAATGCTTAAACCAATTTTGGCTTTCAGGCACAAAAGCATGTTTTGGTGCTCTCACGGGCTGAAGGTCTTGATCATCTTGCAGACTTATGCGAGGAACACCTTCCTGTTATAAGGAGAATGCATGATGTGGGTTTAAAGTGGGCTCAAACATTTCTAAGCGAAAACAAATCATTGGTATTCCGACTTGGATATCATTCGGTATGTGGTACTTTCTTGCTCTTCCTCCACCGTCGGGCATCAACTGTTTTTGTGAAAATTACTACTTGTCAAGTGCCGGAATTTCATACAAATCAAGCATCAGTCTCTTTCCCAATCGGCACTGTCCCTATGAAGTTGGCTTAGTTATCTCATTTTCCTTGAAAACTTAAAAAGTACCCATCAATTAAATGTTGATTATCTGTTTGTTTGATCTTAAAAGTCGAATTGTCTAGCTTACTTTAAAAGAAAGGGAATTATGCAAACAGGTCGTGTCGACTTTCTCCAATAACCGACTTGTTATTTCTTTTTGTTAGGCACCTTCAATGAGACAACTCCACCTTCACGTCATAAGTCAGGATTTCAATTCGAAACATCTCAAGAACAAGAAACACTGGAACTCGTTCAATTCTCCATTCTTCCGGGACTCAGTGGACATAATTCAAGAAGTGAGCGAACAGGGGAAAGCGACACTACACGACGATGAAAAGTTCATGTCAATGGAATTGAGATGCAACCGCTGTAGAAGCGCACATCCAAACATTCCTCGGCTGAAATCACATATCAGCATTTGCAGATCACCCTTTCCTGCTCCTCTACTGCAGAATGGCCGCTTACTTACAAAAGGTGGCACTTGCTAGTATAATAGTAGACTTGTCTAGTTGGATGCCAACCATCAGTTCTTTGTTTTGTATGGTAGATCTCTGATTTGCATGATGGCTGTAGTTCAAGATGGATGACACTTTCTGCTGTTGAAAGTTTGTAAGGTCAAAGGTGGGTAGACTTTTTTACCAACGAAAATTTTGTGAAAATGTAATGGGTTAGGATTATTTCGACTGTATCGGAGACTGGTTAGTCGGTGGTTACAAAAGTACCGATCGATCCAGACCAGTTGCACTATTTTGGCACAATACCGGTTATATCTGGACCAGTTATGAGGACCGATTGGATCCTTGTTTTAAAAGTTTCAGAGCCATTTGGCATCCTTTGATTGATCGATGGAGTTACCGTTTTCTTTAACATTTTTGGTCTTCTTTATTCTTTTTATTTACAAATATGCCATTGCAGTGCTTATTATTTTTGTCATTTAGACTGTATAAGTAGGATGGTTGATTTTTCACATCTCTTCATTCTCTTTCGTCTCTCTAAGTTAATAAAATAGTGATTTCGATATGCTTCCGTGTTTGATAATATTTCCGGTTCTAAATTTATCTCGTGTTCTTAACGGGGTCTTTGGTTCTGAAATCGCTGATGGAAGTAATCATCTACCATATCCGAAAAACACCGGTTTGGCAAAATTTTGATATGACATTCTTGTTGAGTGGAGGGGAAAGGCGCAATGTAAAGATGTGGTGTCATCAAGTTTTAAAATGGCATCAGGTGTGAAGTGGCGGTCGGGTCAATCTTCAAGCCTTACAAGTCAGGATGAGGATATAACGTTTTTCAAGGCGTGAAACAAGGCGTTAAATTTGTATGTTATATATAAAATTATATTTTTACGTATATGTTTTCTATATATTATCCAATCGGATAATGATATTAAAAAAAATCATAAAGATTATTATTATAAAATAGTTTTTGATTAGATATTTAAATATAATTTATAAAAATAATTTTACAACTTCATTTTAATAATGAGTATCTTTATGAATTTGTGAAATTGCGACTGATATGATTAGATACATCTTATAAAATTGTAAAATTTAAAGTTAAACGCGTAAAAAACAAAATATAAACAAACTAAGAGTACATTCATGGTCCCTGTGATTTGTTGGTTTTCCTTTTTACGATCTCTCAAACACGTTTATTACACTGTTTGTCCCTGTGGTATGCAAAAACGCACGCTCTAAGTCCCTCCTTCTAACAGACTTTGTTAACCCAGTTAATTTAAGAGTATTTTGGTACTTTCTCTTTTTTCTTTCTTTTTCTTGATTTGTATAATAAAATGATTTTGTCTTTTTATCATTAATACCCTACCCATCCCCTTCCCTTCTTACCCTCTCCTCTTCATCCCCAACACCAAACAAGTTGTATCCCACCCTAATATCGTCGACCTCAATTAACTCCGACACATACACAAAAACACAGGCCACCTTCTCACACACACTGATAACCTTTTCATCACATACCTTAATACACTTGCACACATTAACTCTTACACACATTGCATCTGTATCATTGTGATCCCCCCAAACGCGATCATTCACCATCTCCGAACAAACCCACTGTCTCCATCTCTGTTGTGTATGTGAACCCCATACTTATTTCTTCCCTTCCCAACATGTCACTTCCTTTACCCCAACCAGCTTCCTTCTGCGGTGAACCCCCATGCCACCCTCTTCTCCCTCTCGCTCCCCATTTTCTTTCTCACTGTTACCCTCTTTGAAACTTACTAGTCAAGTCACTTAATTTACTTTTATGTGTGTGTGATAGAGAGAGAGAGGTTGCTGATCAAACTCAAATAAAAAAGAAAAGGTAGCAAACAGGCAGGTATACACTATGTGTGTGTGTGCGTTTTTAATTTTTTACACGTCGAAGTAAGTAGAGAAGAAGCAAACAAGTGGTTAGGGACTGTGATTTTGATCTCCATTAGAGATTGCAAAAGGACAATGAAGGACAAATGTCCCTTTGAATGTGTGTGGTGAGAGGGAGAAATTGTGAGTGAGGGAGTCCAACAGTGAGAAAGTTTGACAGTGGATGTTGCATTACTGGTGAAAAGGAGAAGATGAGTTTCATCAGTGGGAAGGTGAAGGGGATGATGGTGGAGTGCCTATGATTTTTCAGCCGGAGAAGAAAAACGGTGATGGGGGAGAAAAAAGTTGCAAGTGAGGAATGGGTCTCACCGGAGAGAGGATGGAGAGAGACGATGGTCAACAACAAAGGTGTTCAGTGGAGGCTTGACCAGAGTGGGGGTGAGTATTTCATGGTAATCTATGGTAAGCTATGGCTTGCCATGATACGTCTGTTTGAACAATAGGTGTCATTCTTACGGCTGAGGGAAATTCCACACTAAACGACATGTAAAAGTCTTGAATAGCATTGAAGAACTTTTCGTATTCACCACAACTCTAAATTGAGACTGTACATGAGTTAAGTCAGATAGTTTGTGACATTTAAACAACCCAAAACAATTGAAAATATGGCAAGACAAGTCATCCCATTAACTATTGGCTAAATACAAAATAAGTATTAAAATGTCAAACAATGAAGTGAACACAACTTAATGAAGAAAGCTGAGTGGATATGGCTTCCTAAAGTAACAAGGATAAATTGAATATAATGAAAATTATAAACGAAATTTTTAACTAGCTACTTTGGATGATTCATTTCAACCTCTTCTACCATATGTTTAATTATATGATGAGTGAATTACATTTTTGGTCCCTTTTTTATAGTTGTTTTTTGTTTTTTGGTCCCTACAATTCATAAAATACATTAATGGTCCATTTTTTTATGTCTTGGAGCTCAAACTAGTCCTCATCACTTAACAACGTTACAAGAGCTCCATTAGTCACCCCATGTGCCCTTCACACCCTCATGTGAAGGGTAATTTAGTCATTTTGCTTCTATTTCATATTTTGCTTTTAAAAAATAAAAATAAGTTGGTAATATATGTTATATAAAAAAAGATAAAAATAAAAATAAAAAAAACACAAACAACACCTGAACTGCATCTTCTTAATCGATCCCTCATACCTGTTGGTCAACGCCCCTCCTTGAACCTCTCCCTCCTCCTCGTAGCTCCGGCAAAATCGGCCCCACCCTCCCCTTCCATTGTGGGATTTACTTTGCACCGTTAATTTACGAACTCAAAAATGATTCTGCATTACAAAAGATTCATATTCAAATGGTTTTGCTTTCAAATGATTCAGATGAAGAACACACAATAGAAGACGAAGATCAATTTCGAAGATGATTTCACATAATAGTTTGGGTTTATGAAGACGGTTTCAAAGATGAAGATGAAAATGTAGGGTTTTGATTTCAACGATTTCGAACCGTAGCAGGTTTGATCTGTTACATAAAAATCCAGATTCAGATATTCAAAGAAATCTAGGGTTTTAGTTTAGGACTTTTTTTTTATTTGAATTAATATTTTAGATTTAGATTCTTTAAATTCTTTGTATGAATTTGGAGTTTGATTGTTGGTTACGTTCATCTTCATCTTCAAATGATTAGGACAATTTCTTGTTTTTATTTGAATTTAGTTTTAGATACTTTAGGCTCATTGTATGAATTTGGAGTTGCTCTTGGTTATGCTCATCTTCATCTTTAAATGGATTTTGTTATTTCTTGTCTTTCATGTTAATCGTCACTATTTGATCTAAATTTGATGGTTTTTTATGCCGTTAACCTTTTATTTGTGATGTGTTTAGCGGTGGTGGCAATGGGTTGTTGATAGTGGGGTGGGGTGACTGTCGTGTGTGTTCTTGGTAGAGGAGGAAAAAAGATGGGAAGGTAAAATGACCAAATTGCCCCTCATATGGGGTGACTAACGGAGCTTTAGTTAACAATGTTGACTGAAGGAACTACATTGGGCTGTGAAACACGAAATTTGGACCAACAGTGTACTTTACAAATTGTAGGACGATAACCAAAGGGATTGAACTATATCGGAATCACTCGAGGTTCGGGTTTGCCTCAAAAAATATATTTACTACGACCGTATATAGAATACACAATCATTTCTATACATCGATGATATAGCCGAAGAGGAGGGCATCCATCATTTATCACCTCCACTAATGGAAGATGATAAATTAACAACGATAATCATGCTTTTTGTCCATGTGGTACGTCAAAAATTGTTATTAGTATTTATATACTTCATTAATTATGAATATGGTTATCATGATATTCAATTTCTTATGGTTACAAGTTCTCTCACTAACATAACTAGTATGATAACCGTGTGTTGCGCGGTAACATGAGTATTTTGATTAATAATCTGAAGATTGTTTATATAAATATATATTAGTTGGTAATAAAATTATCAACAAATAGTATTCAAATAATTTTAAAAAGTTATATAAAATATAATTAGTGAAACTTTAATACACACATATTATATATATATATATATATATATATATATATATATACTAGAAGCGTACTCGCGCAATGCAGCGAGATAGATCGTGATTTTAATATTTCATTTTATTCTTTATCTCAGTCGATGTTATAATATGTTTTATGTGATTTTGAGAAAACGATAATGTTTTTATTTTTGAATAAAAATATATGTTTGAAGATATCATAAAAATTTGACATAAATATATCGATATTAATATCAAATTAACTATTTGAAATTCCTCATTTTTATGTGTAATTTTTTAATTCAATTTTTTTATAATTTAATTTATGTACAATAACGAAGTAATTTATATTTGGTTTAATAATATAATTTTTTTATAAAGATAATAATTATTTATTTTGTTGGAACTCGATAATTATTTTAATTATATTTTAG